ATAGCGGTAATAACAGAACACATGCAAGTCGGCCTGGGCTCCCCTGTAGCAGATGCAAAGACCGGGAAAGAAACTATCTTCCATTTGCTCTGTGAAAGCTGTTGAGAGAAACAGTTTTCTTGGCAGCTACTTCATATCCAACCATGGTGTGGTAATCGGCACTAAGCTTAATGACATCTTGAGATTACTAACGGATCGAATACAATAGACGTCTAACGATAGCTACCGGAACAAATAAAAAAATGATCGCAATGCTTCGAAACCTCTCTAAACATTTCGTATGTAAGTAATCTCCGATTAAATTGTGGTGAGATATAATACTCATTAAAGTCTGATCTGACAACCGATCCGGGAAAATTTTAATATTACGGGATTCATAAGAAAACAAACGATCATAACAGGGGAATTATTATTAATATGTAATATGCTTTTTATAAGAAACGATGCATTTTGTTTTTTGACATTTCTTAAATATGGTTTGAATAGGTTTTGGTAATTCTTATACCATTTGAAAAGTAAGTCTATATGATTTCATCATGGAAAGAAAACGAAAATTTTATTTTGATACCGTTCGAAAAGTACGATTCTTAGAAAAAATTGTATTAGTATTTCGGATATCTATTTGGAGAAATGCAAGAAATCACACAAACACACAAGCTGATGATGAATCATTTTGGCTTTAATTGCTTTATTCTCTGCATTAGACGACTGTATGTCTAAAATTCCCGTTAAATTATTAAATAAATGATGTCAATATGTTTACACGCTTATTTTTTTTTTCGTTTGATTTATTATCGCTAAATTTCTAAAAACTAATAAAAATATAAATATGATAAGTGTTTTTTTTTTTTTGTCTGTGTGACACAAGTATTATAATTTGTAGGAATGAACTTTTGACCCCTTTTTAGTGTTCATAAAAAACACAATTTTAAATAGCAAACATTAAAAGCATTTACTTAGTTTAAGATTAAAATTCATTGATTTTTTTAAATTACAGTGAAGAAGAAAATTGCCGCAATGTTATCTAATATATAAGTGGATTTTATTAGAGACTTTTGTCCATAAATTCAGTGACTCATGGCAGCATTGATTGATGGTGATTTCGTCATGGCAGAAATTGAGATCTGACTCAATAATTCCCGGAAGATTGTGCTCAAATTCAAGAAGAATATTAACAGGTTCATAAAGATACAATAAATTTAGCTATCATACAAATGCTCCCTTAAGGTTCATTTCCGCATACACCGTAATCGGTGCCGAAAACGACGCAAGTGTATGAAATTTCGTTTTCGGTGTCGATTACGGTGTATGCGGAAACCTGCCTTTAACGGCACAAAAAGTAGTACAAACCACAAAAACCACGGACAAAAGCCAAATTGTGGCCAAAGTCGAATAGTCCTAGCGCAAAGTTAATGCTCGGTGTTTGCTAACATCGTGCTAAACGTTTACAGAAGACCATAGCATGGAATCTATATGTTGTTAAAGTGTTGGGAAAAGTTGACATAAATCTGGAATTTTTAGTTATTTTTTCTTTCACTTTTATCGGTTTAATAGTCAGAACACTTCGTTAGTAAGATACTTAATAGGAAGTTAACAACAAATAATACTAATCAATTTGGGAAATTCTAAATCAAATTTGTATCTACAGATCGGAAGATCATAACTATTTCAATTTTATGATATTCCTACTCCACGAACAGAACCGAAGCCGTGTCTAACGGCCAGTGATCTGATCTTACCTATATTTCGATTGCAACACTTTCAGTAAAGCAAAAACACAAATTCAGCGATCTTTCATAAATAAGTAAAAACAAGTATGCCAAGAGAGAGATGATCTACTCTCCTTCTTGGTTTTGCACATATCTTAAAGGCGCTTTCTTAATGGTCAAAAATCGTATCGATAGAAAAAGTATTGTTACTATAAGATTAGGAATTTGACTAAAGGTGTTAGTAAACGATGAAGTTCGTAAAACCCCCCAAAGCAGTTAAACCATCGGATAACAGTTATATTCTTGAGTTTAAGCGATTGATTTCCTAAGAATACCAATACTACCAACTTTTTATAACTCAATTAAAATTTCCCAAAAAATTATCAAACTTTTTAAGTCCAGTCCAAATTCTTAGAAGAAAAGAAATCAACCATTTTAGAAAATAAACATTTTGCACGAAACAAACAATTAAATTTGAAATTTTTGTTTATTCTTTACGAAACTAAACAAAAACTCGAATACATTTTCAAATGTAATCTTGATGCTTACAGGATGTTACAACATGAGGCACAACGTGAATGGTTAAGATACTTTTTTTTTTCTCTACTAGCTGTCTCTGTTTTCTTATTGCAATATATTTTTTTTTTATTTTTTTTTTAAGTTAAAGTTTTTAGTTGTTTTTTTTTTTTGTTATTTTAACGTGACTCCATTTAAGATGAGGTGTTTATTATTACCACCAGTTTATGCTGCTTATGGCAGACACAATAACAACAACAAAAACACCATTAACTCCAACAACACAGCAACAACAATATTAAAAAAAAAACAAACACCTCTTTACTGTAAAGCATCTACTCGTAACATCCAAAAGTGATTATGAACCTCTTTCTTAATGGCTGCTAAAGTTTATTTGCTGTAGTTATTTTGTTGTTTTTTTTTACTTTTAAGATAATTTTTGCTTCTTGTTAAAAAGCTGGAAATAAGTAAAAAAGCAAGAAAATCCCCACAATGAAATAAGTAACGCCCACATTTACAAATAAATTTACACCAAAATATAAAAAACTACACTCGCACACAAGTTACAAACTCTGCAGAAATCGAAGTGTTTATTTAGGGAGGTAATTCGAAAAGGGTTTTGCAGGAGCTAAGGAACAAAACTCAATTCATTCGTCAATCTAAAACCAAGAATTGAAGCGATCTTGATGATATATCATTGCTCAATAGAGCGTCAAAATCTGCATCTGATCATAGAATATAAGAATAGCATGATAACACAAGATATTGTACCATAAAGTTGCAGATATCGGCGTTAAAAATTATCAGAAGAAATACAAATATCTCCATCATTATGGTCACCTACAAATATGTCTTGTGCGAACATCAAACGCTCTCTTAATGATGTTGTTCTTGGTCAATATAACATTCTTCAGATGGATTGATTATAATCTAATTTATCTGATAAATATGTATTTCGATGCATTTCGATGCGTTTAGTTTTTATCATTTCTAGATTAGGAGTGCAATTGGTTTCGCAACACATGACAGATTTATCCTTGTTAGACTTTTTCATTGACGTTACATTTATCGCTGATCAATGCTAGTAAGCTTATATCGTTAGAAGATCCAATACCTACCAGGAAATATCTGAAAAATCGTTTAGCTTCTTGTGTTCCTAAGAATACGCTTCAGGAAATTAGACCTTTTAATATTATAATAAATCCATTTGTTGGTGGTCGAGTTGAAAAACTTCATCTCATCAGATTGGTATTATATCCCCAACAAATTATAGTTGAACGATCGCACGATTAACATTCCATCAAACAGATAAAGTCTATAATAAACCGGTAAACCATGTAAACGATATTTATGCAAAGCTTCAATAATATCTTATCAGAAAACTTGTCTTGAAACCATGAAGTTGTGGATCATGTGAGAAGAAGATCTAGTATCAGAATACAGTTTTTGGCTGACTGCATTATTGAGAGCTAAGTATTTATAACATGCGACTATTTCTAATCGCTTTAGATCTCAATCACAAAACAAATTAGGAAAACCTTCACTTGAAGAATGCAACTCTGTCGTAAAGAATTAATATCGCTGAGACGTCTAATAACATGATTAACACACTTAGTTTGAAAGGAGACTATACATATCTTACATAAGATCCGAAGGATTACATCTAGGCCACTATCGCTCCTGTAGTTTGTACCTTCACCAAAGTCTCTGGAGGGAATCAAACCCACGACCTACGTACTGACAAACTAGAACCCCAACCTACGGAAGAATTCTTACCGAAAGATCAATAGTTCGATGATCTGTTTGGCATGTTTATGAAACCAAAGATCCAAGTTTTATGTCTTCCATTTCACTCCGCAACATTGGCTCAAAAGCTTATTTGCGCAAACTTTCGTATACCAAAGGCACTGTTTGGGGAAGCAGTTTCTTTGAAACTAAGTCTGCAATTGATGGCTCCAAACTAAAACATTCTCAGTCGATAACTAAGACATTTAACATTTTTAGATGTCGATATGTAAGTAACTCTTCAAATTCGATATGCAACTCTACAAATCGCTTCAAAATCGAACAAACAGTAAATTTTTAAACTGGCCTCGTAATTATGTGTAATTGTATGGCTACAAAAGGAGCTCCTGTTTTGTTTTTGTAGTCGTTATAATGCTTATGTTTACTCTGGACTCTTAAATTGTTTTTGTTGCCGTTTTTTTTTTCTGCTCGTGCAAACTGTCATTAGTTGGTGTGAAATTTTGCAGAAATTCCAACAAATGAGCACAAAATGAAATGCAATTGTTTTTTATGCTTTCTCAGGAAAAGAGAGTAAATAACAAGATGAGTTATGAGATGAATTGTTGGCAAAAACAAAAAAACAAGTTTATAAAATACACGGTGCTCTTTTAAAAAGAGTATTTTAAATAATAAAACAAAAAGAAAAACAAAGATTATTGTGGGCATCACCTCCCCAAAAGCTATATAAGTGAGTATCTGTGTGTACGTTTAAGTGTACGAGTATGTGTAGAAAACTTTGGCGTTCTCTTTCTCGAATTGATTTTCTGGGCAAGTGTTAGAACGACACAACTGCTGGATTATTGTTTATGTTGTTTTCTTCTTATCGCTGTTGTTGTTGTTGCTGTGATTAGCTATGAATATTGAAATCCCCATTTATCGTTGTTATAGCCATCGTTGTCGGCGTCGTTGTAGTCGTCGTCATCGTCACCAACGACGACCGATGAATGACGCTGTTTTTTAGTTCAATCGACAATTATTATGAGTAAAACCTTCAACGCGTTACCGGCAATACGCGTTAACAACAAAATCAAAATCGTTCGTTTGTTTAAAAAAAAATACTAAATCTTAGAAAGAAATTAGAAAAAATCAGAACAGCAAAAAACGGTTGCTATATTTACGCGTTAATATGTTGTTTATTAAATTGGTGTTGTATGTAGAACGTGAACGCGTACGCCATTAATTGAAAACCCGCTAATTGTGACAAAACTTGTATAGAAAGCGTCAACTGTCAAAATATTACTTTACTTCAGTTAACAACTCTCCCCACACACTCACACTCATACAATCTCTTACATTTAAAAAATCCACACTTTGATAGTGAAACAAAGTGGAGAGTTTAAGTTAACAACAAAACGTGCGTGTCTTTTGGTGTATCTGTGTGTAAAGAGCGCGTGAGTGCGTGCGTATGTAATTTTAAAGTTTGTTCAAAAATTTCTCGACATTATACGCAAATAATTAACGATCATTGTGACCACTGCAATACGACCACCACCATTATCATCACTGTCAGTTGTTTGGAATTTAACCATCATCTGCAGCACATACACACATATACACTCAAAGAAAGATAATGGCGTTAACAGCTTGTCAATTGAAGCGAAACGGTTACGCTCCATTAGTGTAAACTAGTTTTAAATAAAATATCTAAACAAAACTGTGGTTAAACGACAAATTCTATTCAAATCGCCTCCAACCGACGGTTGACAACTTCATTGTTTTCAAATAACAGAAATAATTGGAAATTAAATCAATAATACTCCCTTAAAATGTGCCAAAAAATAAATTGAAAAACGCGTGTGAATGTGAAAAAGTGAATTTTTAAAAATATATAGCCAATTGGTATAGAATTGTTCTCATAGATTTGCCAATGGTCACGTGTACCCAACAACGCTTAACTATGCTGCCTTTGGTGCCGATTAATCCTTTCGTTGTAGCACATAAAATAACAAATCCGTCGGCCAATGCAGCAGCAGCCAAAACCAATTCGAGTACCTCCACCACCAACACCACCAATACGAGTTCAAACACTAAACCCAAACTAGCGTTTAGTATAGATGCTCTAGTGGGTGGCGGCGGTGGAGGAGGAGTTGTTAAAGATAGCTTTCGCTCGGTAGAATATTGTCCACCACAAAATTCGTCATTACATCCTACGATAGAGCCTCCTAAAAGAACATCTACCAGTCCAGTAAGATACTCAAGTAATAATGACTTAGCTGGTGTAGAACCTTTAGAATTAAGAAATTCTTGTAGAGATATTAAACCAAGCATATCACCCACATCTTCTCAGCAACGACAATCACCTGTGATAACCTCCAGCCAAGAATCGGGAACTCAAACACCCACTCGCGAGTTTAACAATTCGCCTTTGCGTGAACACACCCAATCACCCACACCAAATGATCTTGCACCAGCTGCCAGCAGTCGTTCGACTACTCCGCTACATTCTCCTCGTGAAACGGGTCAAGATGAGCAGAGAATATTTAAAACACAACTGCCTCCCGGCTTAGTAAGACCCTTTCCTTTACCTGCTCCAGGCAATATGCCACTAATAAGACCCCTACATAGTCCCCAAGATTCCGCAATCATAAATCATACCCCTTCCAGCAGTTTACTACCACCACCTCCCAATAACCCTGCTCTACCCGGCACTACTTCAAATCCTCATTTATTAGCGGCCCAATTTCAAATGGCTGCTGTTTTGGCTCATCATCAACAACAACAGCAGCAGCAACAACAACACAATCCAGCTGGTTCAAATATACCACCGCCGCCTCCTCATGCAGGTGGACCAGCACCACCTCCCCATTTACCACCTCATCTCATGCATACCCATCATTTGGGTATATTTCCTCCTCATGGGCCTCATCATCCGCCGTTTGGTAATCCTCATCTAATACGGGATACTTACCCCTTGTATCCCTGGCTACTGAGTCGTCATGGTCGCATATTCTCACATCGTTTTCCAGGTAATAATTCAAAACATCAAGAACATCAAAAATTCTAAATTATTATCTACTTTAACGATATGGTATGCATAAATATGTATATATTCATGTAGTATGTTTATCGATGTATAAATAAAACCCAACCCAGTTTTTTTTCATAGAGGTCGGAAATTAATTACATTTTAATTAAATAGTTTTGAGCGTCATTATAAAAATGTATTCTCTGTGTACTAAATACTACACCTAACAAAAAAACACGAAGTGATGTTGTTCATCAGTTTAGCCTAGAAAATATACAAAAACATTTTGTTAATTGGATTCAGTTTTCGGTAAAAATAAAACATTGTCTCTCCATATGTACATATGTATGTGCGTTTCTATGTATGAAAATCATTATTGTGTTGTTATGCTAATTAGCAATGTGATAAACGTAATTATCTTGATAAGTAATTTGAATTTCCAAATTGTTGCAACAATTGTCAATAATTTCTAAACAAAAATATTTTTGGAATTACCAAAAAAATTCGGCAATATTTAGCGATCACGCAAGAATTAAAAAAAAAATAAAGCACCAATTACATAGGACCACCAATTAAGCGATTCAGAAGTAATGATATTTCCATGGAACGATTTGGACTGACTTTTCGATATTTGTAAACAGATTGGTAAGCAGATTCAATAAGGTCTTTAATTCAAATTAGACAGATTGTTATATAATTGACCCTAAGACAAAAATAAACGTTATCGTAAAATAAACTATACGTTAATTTTCGTTGGGAACTTATGTTTTCTTCATACAATACAAAAGTGCTAAATTCGTCCTTTTCCCAATTTTTGTCCCCTTCTGAACCAACTTTTTTTAAGAAATTAAAAGCCTAAATCGAGAATATTTTCGCTTTGGAATAGACAAAAATAAATCTTCAAAAATCAAAAGCACAAAAGTACAAAATGTTTTTCGGCCTTTCTCCGCCCTTGGTCCCTTTTAATCAAACTGTCGAAAAATAACATAGCTTATTGACGCTTCTAGAAATAGATCTATCTATGTTCTAAATTTCAAGAAAATCACTATTATAACTGTTTAATTTAATAGTTTCGTTCTTGAGAAAAAGTACTATTTTTGTTAGCGATGCCCCAAATTTATTTGTTCGTTTTAAAACATGCCTCAGCATGTATTAGGGTTTTAAGTCAATTAATTAAAATTTAAAATACATAAATGTAACGAATAAACCGATTAATTTCTTTCAACTAGCCGTTTAATCGAAAAACTCATTGATCATTTAATATTATCGATTGATCACCTAATATTATATAGAATATGTTTTTATATGTTTTCAAAGTACTTGAGATGCTTCGTGCGATTCAGAAGTGATGATTTCGATACGGAAGACAAAGTTCGCTCAGGCCATTCAGAAGAGTTTGAAGACCAAGAGTTGGAATCATTACTTCACGATGATTGTTGTCAAACTCAACTCAATAGCTTGCTAAATAATTGAGAGCTACTCAAGTAGCAATTTCAAAAGCTTTGCGTGTAGTTTCCCTTTAGCCCCCCGTAGATCCGCGCCTGAACCCAAAAAAAAAGATGATTTTACATGTCCGAAACATAATTTTTAACCTTTTTGGGACGCTATAACAGCGCCAAGACAATAAAATGACGTATGCCGTCTTTAAAATAAAGGTTTAACATCTGACATGTCTTCTTTCTTCTTCGAGAGATCTTTACCATAAGCTTGAAAAGTCATGGTTTTCGGTATATTCATGGTATTTTTACCCTACTCTACTATAGTGCGGAGGGTATTATGCTTTGTAAATATTGTTTATAATGAACAAAAATATTGAATGTTCCAAGCGACTCAAAATCTCTTTCTGACTCGATTTAAAGATGTTTGTCTGCCCATCAACTTCAACAGATGATAACTCAGCAATTACAGCAGAAAAGTATACTTTGGTCTCAGGGTTAAAAATTTGTCGGCTAACCCCCATTATCTCAATGTCTGGTTATATTTTATCGTAAGGTTAAATTGACAGTTTTCATACAAAAATTATTTTAACCGGCAGAATATCTACCGGTTAAACGATTACCGGAGTTGGTGTTAACGGGGGTAAGCAGCATAATCGACACCAAAGACAGATATACATAGCTCTAGGGTAATTTGAAGGGACCAAAAGGGTTCTGTAATCTGTAACGTTACTGTTGTGTATGAAGCAATCATAGGCTGAAAACTCCCAATATAACATCACAAGGCTCGGCCACATGTTGTAATACTTTATTCTGCATTACTTCAGTATAGTATATCTAAAATTAGCTTGATTCATTCTTGACCTCAAAATGTGAGTTCGTTTGTCGCGGAATCCTTCTTATCTGGCCAGAAAGGTGGATAAAGGTCGTAGCTAACAATGGCCAGGCAATACTTGGTTTCGAATGGTTTCCTTGGTTTCGATTAATTTTGGCCCTATATAGTCTTTATTGTTTCTAATATTGTTTTCTAACATAAAAGGGAAATTTCTACATATTCCCACTTTTGTTTCGCCTGATCAAAACTGAACTATTATGAATTGTGCGTAAACAACCCATTCACAATAGTTGTGAACTATCTACAAAATCACACAGCAAAAATTCATGATGGATGGAAGATTAGCGGGAGGATACATTTGTTTAAGGAATGAGGGAAAAAATAGTGAAATTTTATTCACGATATCGATAATAAGATTGAAAGCCTTGAATTATTACGGAATACTAAAGTCAAATCCGTAATGGTGAACGAAAAATTCAGTTGACTTCAGAAAATACTTGTTACAAATTTGGTGTCAGCTTTATTTTTTAAAATTCCGTTGTTTTCCGTAGTTTTTTTCTGGAAAACGAATATGGGCTAAACGATTTTTTCAGTTACAGCAACAAACATACATATGGGCAATTCCATACGATTGTATGTGACGTTCGTACGTATAGATTTGGTAAAAATAGGAGTACTTGAAAAACAATTTTGTCATTCTGCTCCATTCAGAGAATACTATATTTGCAAAAGCAATCATCCCATTCGGAAACTTGTTTTCCAAAATATGGATTAAAATATGACGATATCATACGTGACGAAAAGCGGAAGTGTTTTTAAAGTACATGTAAATATTTACGAATATCTGCGAATTCTGTAGGGGTATCTTTTTTGTTTTAATTTCTTATCCTATGGTACATATTTTTCATTTGCAATCCATAATTTTTAAATAAAAAAAAAATTAATATAATTTTATAATGAACGTTTTTTAATATCGTACGTGACACATCGTATGTAACAGATTTTTCTCCTGAATTTTTTTTAGGTTATAAAATATATATTTTGGAAATATATGCACACACACACCTCAACAAATAAAAAGGAGTAGGAAAGTGCAGTCGGACATGGCCGACCTACATATATGTTTAAGCAATTTATAGATAAAAATAAAAAAGTTATATGGCGAATTAGGTCAAATATTTTTATTCATATAAAACTTATTTGTGACAAATTTTATTATAATATTAGTGCTTATAAATGAGTTACGGACGTTTAAGTGTATTTCTGAAGTTAAACTTTGAATGGAACTAGGGTCAAATGAGTTCTAATCTTTATGAAAATCGGCATAATGGTTAAGACTTATATACATTTTAGATCTGCCGATTTTGGAAGGGATAGTATTATAATTTACAGAATTATGAGCTAAAAAGTGATATTTGCGAGTCCGTTTGTATGGGGCGAGGTGTAAAAATAGACCGATTTCCAAAATTTTTAACTGTCTTCGTCTTTGATGCTACAAACGATCATACACCAAATTTTGTTGAATTATCTTCAAAAATGCAAAAGTTATGGGGGTTTTATTTTTTCAGTCGTAGTTTACCTTTTCATGGAATTGCCCATATGTGCAATATCCCTATATTCGTAAATGATTAATAAAATTATTGGTTATTTAAAATACTTGTTTGGGAATTTTTAGAAAACGGGACATTAAAGGGATCTCCTAAAGAATTTCTATACTCTTTTGGAGTTTTAAACAAACAACACTTTAATATATAAATGTATTAGACATAATTTGATCTTTAACATAATTATAAATTAAACCACGAATAAATAATTTAACGTTTATATGTATGTAGTTATGTATATGATTTGGAGTATATTTTTACGCATATCTAACTTTTTCGTAAAAAATATTTAATTTTCTAGCTGCTGCTCATCTTTTTTAGTTTTTTTTTTTCGTTCTTGTTCTGTTCATGCTCTTCATAACACAAGGCAATTCGAGCAAACACTAATGCATTTTTAATTGAGGTTTTATATTGTATTTTGTGGCTGCCAGTACGCCACGCCAAAGATACATCCAACAACAACAATAGTAATAATAAAAAAAAAAAAATACAACACAAGGTGTATTTATTGCGTTTTTATACGTTCGCGTTTGTTAATTTTTTTAGATCTTTTAAGGCTTAGTTGTTGTTGTTGTTGTTTGGTAGGGATTGTTGGTTACGTGTATATAAATATTTTGGTTTAAACTTTATCATTTATTATTATTTGTTTTTGTTGTTTGTGTGTGCATATGTGTTTTTAACTAAATGATAATGTTTATTATGTTTAAATTATTATTATAACATCAGTCACATCAAATTAGTAGTTGTTCTTTATTGAAGAGTTAAATGTTGATTAATGTGTATTTTCCATTAATTAACTGAGAAAGAGAGAAGAACATTGGGAAAGTACAATGACGACGTCTGCAAAGTTTTTAAATAAGTTGTAATTATTATTAAGGAATATACATATGTTGTAAATTTTCTATTTAAACTCGTTATATAGTATGATTGAGAGATCTACTACATTAACTATTTATTGATTTTATTGTTTCTTTAGTAATTTTCTTAAAAGAGTTATCAGTTTTGTAATTAAGGGCGTTTTTAACGTTGCAGCTGATTTAAAATTGATATATTTTATGAAAATAATCATTAATCGTAATTAGCAATATGTTGATGAACTCTTTCATGGTGAAACTAAGTTTCGAAG